CTCGTATATTTAATAAATAATGTAATAAATGTCCTCAAGGAAATACAACGTCCACACTTTACATATTTCGCATATTATGTTTCTGCCAATGAATTCCAGTAAATATATTTTTAAAAATTGCCATTTATCACAGACGGTAATGAAACAAAGACGTTGCGATTGATCGAACGGTTCCTCGCGCAAGCTGCGATGTTAACGATCAAAATTTTTTCTGTAATCGATTCTCGGCGCGAGTGAAAGTGCTTAGCCAGCTCTGAATGCGAGCTTAATGCAAGTCGGAGGGAGAATCTCGTTGACGTACCCTCATTTGCATAACGTATTGTCGCTTTTGAAGCTGGTCGGCGCGATGCAGCGATTCAACGAGAAGGTCAGAGAAATCCGGGCCTCGTAAATGCGGCCGGGTAAATAATTCGAGCTGACCAGCTAACGGGGTTAACATTTTAATCGGTCTCGGGTATCGCATGAAATCGATCCGTTACTCCTATTTTCAAGCCTCAGCAATGAATTTTACACAGAATTCCAATACATTGATCATAAAAAATGATTTTGCAGAACGTCACATAGTCTCGTTATTTAAATTGCGAAGAAAATTGATAGTCCCCTTCGCTGTGAGTTACATATCCCGATTTCGATTCTCCAGATAATTTTTTAAATCCAAGTAGTTAGACGATTTTGGGAAACAGTTTCGTCGATGGTTTGAGAAAACGTTTTCCTGCGTCTTTCCTCGTAATTCCTTGGCACGAAAATCTCAGCGGAGCATGTACGAGAGTAAAGACGGAAAGAAAGAAGCCCATGTTTGGGCGACTCCTTATATAAAGTGACTAAGGTTCTTTGTTTCTTGTATCTCTCCACTTTCCACTTTCGCGAGCGTGTGTAGCAGCAACGTTTGATACCGCGATGGCCTAACGGTTAGATCGTGGTCACTTCGGTTCACGAAGTGAGAATATCGAAACAACAGGAGAATCTATGTTCAGGAAATGATAATGTCTATTCTGCTTGCTTTATTACCACTTCAGAAGGAACGAATTTTTGGTTTGCTACTTAAAAGCTAAATATAAATATTTTTGAAGGGACAATTAAAACCGATGTACGTATGCTCATATAAAATGCATAATCAAATTTCCATTAGCAGACTGCAGATTTTATGCATTTATAAGGACTGCATGTAATGCGAAAAATGTGAAGAGTATAAAAAGTACAACATATATAATTATTTTTTAATCTGAATGTAGAATTAATTTTATAAATCGACATGGCGAACGTTATGGTTCCTCGGTAATGTCTGGGTAACGACTTTAAGACGGATCGGAAAGGTATGTTGAATTTTTCACGCGTCTCAGCATCCAGCTAGAAACCAGCGGCAGAGAAATCGAAAAAGAGAGATCCCCAGCGTTTTCTTGCGATGAGTCGAAGTATTTATCTGGTGTCCAAGTGTCGCGGCGACCGAGCGTACGACGAAACGCCGGTAAAAACCATAAAAATGTAATCGGCCGCGCTCGTTACAGATATTTTTCCATCGCGGTCAAGCCCCGGGAATTCTCGTGAAACGAGGAGAAATGAAGTAACGCCACCGTCGATTCTCCGTAGATCAATCGCGTGGCGGAGATCCACGATATAACATCCCACCTATGTTTTCCTTATTC